AACAAAGTGGGTGTTTGGCGCACGCTTCGGTGTGGTTTGCTCCGTCTTTCTAATCAATCAAACATGTACCATCCTTCCCCCCCCCTCCTTCTTTTTGTGTTTGTCACTCTTTGAAAACACCTCCAATCTTCGGCATATATGTGAGTGGTTGGCGGGTGCTCTGGTGTGGTTTGCTTCTTCTTTCCTATCAAACATCTATCGTCCTTATCTCCCCTCATTCTTTTTTATGTTTGTTACTCTCCTGTAACACCTCTAATTTTCTGGCGCTTATATGACCTTATGCAGTTGCGAGCGCCGTAAAACCTCTACTAAAAAAACCAAAAACCATTCGGCACATTATGACTTAATTTTGTAACAAGTGCAGTAAAACACTTTTCTAAAACAAACCATCCCATCTTCGGTACTTATTATTCTTATTGTGTTGCAAGTGCCGTAAATTTCTTCTTGCGAAAACTAAAACTTCCAAAGAAAGTACAGAATTTACTTACATTATTTCCTCCCCGGTGTCCACAGAGCGTCGCTATGTGTTCGGGAACACGTACGGAGACGAGACCCGCTCACTGGAGGTGTGTGCTCACCCAGAGGGAAACTTCGGCAAGTTCCAGCGCTCACGGACCACCGCTCTCTGAGTCCTGATGACGTCACTCCAACATCTCATCTCTGCTCTGGACGTCGGCGACAATAATACAGTTATTATTCTGATGGGAACGTTTCGTATTTGATCATTTTTTAAAGAACATAATATTGGTCTATTGACCTTCTATAGAACATCATAATAATATTTCGACTTTTTTCAGTATTCTTAGTATTAAGAATGCGTTGACCAAAAAAAGAAGTGTGTGTCATTTCTAAATAGGGTTATAATATACTGAGACATCGCAGATGGCCTGTTGGTTTTTCTTGAATAAATACTTTGATGAATAGGAAACAACTGCATGAAACATCTACATTTCCATAACCTTCTGTCGCTGATCAGTGCAGAGGGGCGCATTTACAGAATAATAATTATAATGAGTGCCTCTATAAATAAGATATCGTTTTTATGTTTGTGCAAGTGTGTGCCCGTGTATGTGTGCGTGAGTATGCATCATATTTGTTACAAATTTCAAATGTGCATAATACTTGTATTAATATTCTTCAAGCAATCAATTTGATTACCAGTTTTATAGGGGAAACTCTGGGCTTTTGGTACAACTGATAGCTGCGTGAGCATATTTCTGACTGTAGCTGTTTGAGTTTTGAATTAACTGACCATGTGTATATGATAGTGGTCGAGTTGTTCTTGTTAGACATTTTGGAAATCCTTACTCTCTCTAGAGATAGAATTGTGGCAAAAGAGTTCAATAAAGATTATGTCGTGCATTATCAAAGCAAACATGATAGAAAAGAGGAAACATTGGGAATACTCTGTTCAATTTCGATGGAGATCAGGTTATGAGGACAGATCGGAAAAGATTTATACAGCTTGAGAGAAAAACATTCTATTGTCTTGCGTGAAAGAAAGAATGAGAGAATGAGCACTTCCTGATAATTGGAATTTAACACAATTTGCACTTAAAGCAGAGACTGTTCTCAAAAAGGAAAAGATAATTATATTTTAAAATGTATTTTCATTGGGACGGTGTTAATGTACAAATATGAACGTAATCTTTTTTATCTTTATATCTGATAAGAATGCTGCTGATTCGTTTTATCGTAATTGATATGTATTTGTGAGCTTTTATTTTTTCAGAAAATCAAATATTATTTTATTTTGTAAGCACAAACCAGGAAATGTAATCTGTATGTATTATATTTGTTATGTGAGGAAGCTTTTTGCTTTGTTGTTTGTGGTTATGTTCCTTCTGTCTCAGTATTGTGTGCAAAAACCAGAGCCTAACCAGCACCTGTCGATGTCTACCGTGTCGCCAGTTTGTCCATGACATAAGACCATATTTATTACCATTTTTTTTCACGTATACATATATCAGCTCAGTTGGCATGATGTCTTATTTTGTGTAACGAAGAACTAGGTTCATATCCCTGCCGGATGATTGTGAACTGTGATAGCCAAGACAGTTTTGAAGTCTCTGCCTTCCGATCCCTTCGGGGCCAAAACAAAACGTTTTGGCTCATTCTTATTTGTTGAAGGGTCGTAAAACTCGGAAGAGGCAGGCAGAATGGTTTCGTGTTATCAGCATTGCAGTCTTGCAGAATAATCTTCCATTTCGATCCAAGACATTTTCGATACTTAATATCTCCAGGGTTAAGAAGTTGTTCTTCAAACCCTGGATCATTATTCTCTTTTCATTTTTTGGTATATTTTTTTTCAAGGCAGGCATTGGAAACTTGTTACTTGACAATCATGTAAACATTTTTGATCTAGGAAATAAGCGCAAGCTTTTGCCGTTTTTTAGAGCGATTCTATTTTTTATAGACACAAGAATAATACATCATTTCATGTTTCTTTTTGTTTTTCTGTTGTTTTCAAACGGGAAGGAAACTCAAATCAAATATCATGTTCTTACTTATCATGCAGGCTGTGAAAGTATTATGTCTTTTTATTATTTTTTCTCCAGAATGTGCAGAATTTGTATTGATGGTTGTCATAATGAACATCCCTGTGCCCGTTTCTGCCTCGCTGGTTTACAAGCGCCTGTCTGCACTCTCTCATCAGTATTATTGTATATTATGGACTCTTAAACTTTCATTTATTTTTGTTTCTGTAGCATTAAATGGCCAGATTATGGAGAATCAAAAAATGTTGTTTTGTTTTTAGCAACCAGATGTGAAGTAGAAAATATATTGTTATCTTTAGTTTTGGTTTCGTTGTTTTTTAAATTCTTCTGTTTCAGCACGGACGAATGGTGCCTCTCTCCGCCTCCTTTCATCCGCCAAGTGCTTCTGTACATTCCATAGATCGTAGATTGTTCTAGATTCAGTGATTGTTACACCTGTCTGTATCGCGCATTGAGGTCCTCTCATGCCAAAAAGCTGTATCTGTGATTATTAAATCATACTGTTTGAACACATAACCTGCTTTCGATGTATTTTTGTGACCTGTGAAATGCAAATTTTAGTTATCACGAATATGATGTCCATGAACCATTAAATAGACATCATCACAGAGATATCATTAATCAGTGACGTCCTATATAAAATTGCGTCGAGTTACCTCAGATGTTACCCTTCTTTGAAGGGACTAAATTAGTATACGACTTTCTATATGAAACCTCTACCCTCCAACATCGCATCTTAATTTTAGTAAGACCTTATACTAGGAGAGAAACTGAACGGTCAGATATTCGAAATATTTTAGGCATAAGAGTATCGAAAACTCAGTTTGTTTCATAACGATTTAATTTGTAATATGCGACATTTTTTCTAGAGTATTTTTAGTGTTTGGAAGCTATCGTGATGTGGTTGAAGACGGAAGATACATCTGTACTGTTTATGTATAAATTAATATAAAGCATTATATTTGTTTTTATCGGGTAATGTCAACCTTACCTCAAGTTAAGTGGCACCGAAGAGTGACAGTTCCATCTATTTAGTTTTTTTCTGACGGAAAAGAGAACCCTCTATTCACTAAATAAATTCCCCAAAAATATAATTTTTTGAGTTTTTGGATTTGTTCTTTGCTAATTTTTTCACCTCACTGGCTCATGTATCACTAGTTTTGTTTTTGTTTTAGTTCAATCAAAAACAAACTGCTCGAACCTTGTTTGTGTGGGGATTTTTTAAGTTTTACTTAAACGTGTCTTAGTTTTCTCTTTTTTGTGGTAGTTTTTGATAGCGCATCGGTGGAGCTGAGGTTCTCTCTTTTTTCTGTCCCTCTGTTGTATTGGGCTATCTGTCTTTCTTTTGCCCTGCACTAAGGGACCGTTATTGGTGTCCATGTGCTTCTCTCTACTCAAACAAAGAAGCAATCCAACATTTGGAAGCAACGTAATGTTCCCGTCCCCGAAAGATCAATTTAATAAAAAGTTTGGTCAGCGCTCTGCTGACACATACTTTCATTGCAAGTTTCCTCATGTGGGTCCAAATGGCAGTTTAGACCCCCTCCGAAGACTACTGTTTTCCGCTTTCATAAATAATTTGAGATATGTTATGCCCCCGTTGACGTAATTCAGATCCTGTATATCGCCGCTTTCCTGGGCCGAGAGGGAATCAACGCCCCAGGAGGAAGACGGAAGTACTCTATAAAACACTTTCCCACGTCATGGTAATCGAACTCAGGTCTTCCGCGTGCGACTGCGAAGAGCTGAGCCGCTACACCACAGAGGGTGGTCCTCTTTTGTTGTTGAGGGTGTGTTAATTCTTGATAACAAGGCACAGTGCGTTTATTTGTTTTATTTGGGGGGGGGGGTGTTGTTGAGAATATTAACTTTGTTACTTGAAAAACCAAGCTTGATTCCCAGGTAAAGTACAGGTTAAAAGCTACTGGGAAAATATAAAGGAAATACAAGACGGCCGTCTTATTCATGTTGATGTGTCTCTCTTTACTGAAACACAGAATAATAAATCAATTGTCCATTTGGCGTATTCAGAGTTATGTTCTCCCTTCCCAAAGACCAAGTAAGTACACAGTCATTGGAGAAAATGACAAAACGTTTTACAGCTTCAAATAATTTATTGATAATGAGTCTTTAGTTTTTCCTATTGTGCTGGTTACGTTCTTCACGAAAAGGAGATATCTTCAGATCTGATTCCCAGAAAGATGATATCATCAAACATGGCGTCAGAGACGATTACCGACGGTTAACATGTCTCGGTAAAAGTAAAGTACAGCATCCCCGAAGCCATTTCGAACGTTGGACCTTACGCGCTTTATCAAAGGTAACAAGGGGCGGGGGGCAATGAGATCGCAGTTATATCACCCAGAGTAAGGAAACAGTTGACTGTGGTCGTTGTGATGCACGAAGATGTCGGAGGCTGTACTTTAGTTTTGCGCATGCTTCCTTTCTGTTCACCTCTCTTCTGTTAAAGTTTTCTTCAACAGAACGCTGTGAATGATGTCCGAATGACAGAACTCCAGCAGAGATTATTTCTTCTCTTCTGCGTTCTGACTGCCTGTACAGAATATAGTGTGAAACGTTTTCTTGTATTTTGAGCTCATCTTGTAATAGACGATAATATTGATCCCCGCGTTGACGGCGTAATGAACCATGGCGAAACACCAGCACAAGCGGAGGAGATGATGGTACCGCTGTCCGAAGTTGAAGTTCGGGATGAGCAGAGAAGCGATAGAGAGAGCTAGTCCAGGAGCATAGCTGACCAGAATGATGATGGACACGAGGATGACCATCTTGATGACTTGACCGTCGCGTTTCAAAGCCGAGCTAGAAGCTTCAGACTTTTCAGACGTTGCGCGGGATCGCCAGGCAGCTTTACGCTTCAGGCTGACCGTTAGGATGGTCGTGGAGCAAAGGAGACAGAAGAAAGAGCCGTTCTGTAGGACGCTCATGATGCAGTAAGTGACGAAGTCCAAGATCTCGCTGTTCTCTGTAGTCGTGAGTTTGGTGACAGTCTTGTTCTTCAAGGGATCGAACTTGGTTTCTATGGTTACGGCCAGAAAGCTGGGGAACACTCCGGATATGGTGGTGATGTACAAACTCAAGACGACAATAGCAGCTACCTTGGGCGTCATCATGCCCTTGACCTTCATGGGGATGGTGACGCAAAGACATCTCTCTACGGAGATGAAGACGGCGATCCAGGAACTGTTAAAAGCGAAGGCATACCACACCCAGCTGTCTGAAAAAGGAATTAAGATTGTATCTGCAACTGTTTTGGGCTCCGTTTCACAAAATTTAGATAATTAGGGGAGTGAAGTGGCTGCTTCAGCCCTGCAAGTCAGTATCAACAATAATTGAAAGGGACCAATCGTCCCAGGAGACAGACTGAGCTACTGGACAAAAATCTCTTCACCCAAGATTCAAACAGTTTTTGGATTGAGACTGTGCAGTGCCAAAGCGTTACACCCCAGACACGTAACAGAAGATTCCTAGAAAGACCTGATAACATTTGGTCCCATTATGAAAAAATGCAAGCCATTTTTTGTTTGTCTTGTTAGCGTAAGTGCATGGGAGCATATCAATAAAGTATAGGTCATTTTGGGTTGGGAAAGAGTGAAGCTGACGGGCAAAAGCCATAGTGGGGAAAAAGAGAAGAAATTTAGCAAATGATATTAGACAACAAAAAGGCACACAATACGAAGACTTCAGAAAGAAAATCGGTCTCAGACATTATTATTTTCCCCCTTTTTTTAGCCCAGTGGGTTGGATTCCTTTTTGTCTATAAAGTTTTGTTTAAAAAGATCGGAGTCCCACAATGGTGACACAGATTAGGCAAAGAACATTAGAGGTCCATATTACTCAGAGAAAAAAGGCTTTAAAAAACTACGTATCTCATCACAAGGACAATGTTGATCGATTGTTTAGGGTAAAACAAGCTTGTAGACACAGTAACGTTCGCGTAGCGCTGAATGAGAAGCTCCACGTGCAGACATAAACAAAACAAAACCATAGGCGGAAACATTCCAAAACATAACTGTACTTCTAAAACAACAACTACAACAGCAACAACAATACCAAACAAAGAACAACAAACAAAGATACAAACAACAACAAACCCCCCTTCCCAAAGACAGACCAAATCACAACAAAACAAATTAACAAACAAGTATGCAAAAAGAGATACCAAAAAAAACACAAAAGCAAGACAAACAGAAAACAAAAACAGCAGTAGTTTTGTGACCGGTCTCTCGTTCTCTACTCACAAGCGTAAGAGAAATCTTCAGGGAACATCGTTTCCTCAGTGTACTCAAACCAGACGAGAAAAGAGAAAGAAAGCAGACTGACTAGAGTACACATATCGGAGATGGCCAGTCCGAGGAGAGACACGTTGATGCTCTCCTTGAAGCCCTGCTTGGTGAACACAGCCACATTGACGACATTAGCGCCTATACCAAGGGCGGCAATCGTAGCTATGAAAAGGTTCATGAGCGCCCGCATGTATAGCATGAAGGAGTTACTCAATAGAAGGCCATTATCGTCAGTCAGGTTCCCTAACTGGGCCATGGCTACAGGCACAAGTCACCGGAATTATTAAGTACAAATGTTGTTGCGTGTGCCTGTGAGACAAGAATGATAATAAAAAAACCTGACAATTGCTTAGGTGTTGAATTGTATTAATTGTTTTAAAAAGAATATTGAGCACTCCTACCCCCTGAAAGGCAGAAGCCTAGTCGTTTAAATGCTTGCACAACACTATTTTTAAAATATATATTTGATATTCCTACCCTTTGTAGACGGTTGCTTTGTTATAAAAAACAACTATTGTTGTTGATTTTTTGTTGTTGATTTATTTGTATAAAGAATAGTTTACTATATTCAATATCCCTTGCTGGACGGCTGAAATATTTCCACAAAGAATATTTTGTATCCTTACAATTTATCAGATGAGAGTGTTTTTATCAAACCGTTGTTCTGTCGTTCAGGGATTTCAGTTCGAATAAGCTTTTGTTTTTGGCGGAGTAAGGCTGTTACAGACATGAAAACTTCAGGGATGGTTAGATTTAAGGTGACCAAAATTTTCTATACTCTGCTCAGGGTTGATAAAAGTTGGGGTCAAAGAGTTGAGAAAGTACTCCGTGTTCCTGAACTCCACGCTTACTTCGCAAGTATAAGCATAAAATGTAGTATTAATTGTGCAAGAAGCGAAAAAAATGAAGGCTTTTTTTTCAAATTCAACAATTTTTAAAGACGAATTTCCATATAATCAGTGCGTGGTTTTGGGAGAAGCAGACTAATAAAATCACGAATGTAAACTGTCCGAAATGGAAATGATGTCTGTACGTGTGCATCAACTTTTGAAAATGCTATGAGAAAATCTACTTTTCTAATATGCAGATAAGGCTGTTCAAGCTAGAGTTTTACAACTCGGGGTTAACGCAACATGGCGCCAGTTCAGAATCTAGAAAACAGCACTTTCACTTACACCGCTGTATTTCATTTATAGGATTCCTGAATTTTCCTTCTATAATGGCATTGTTATTACGAGGAAAATAACTTGCCAAAAACAACGCCTCGGGTGAGAATTGAAGGCAAAGGAGAGGGAAATTCGGCTACTTACAAAGTAAAAAACTTTTCGGAAAGGTAGATCAACGACCTCTACATCGTGACCGTTATCTCGGCCTAAAGTGTCAAAAAAATACCTGAAATGGGTTAATGATGGACCTGAAAAAGGTTGAACACTTAAATGCATCTTTAAAAAAGCAAATTAAAACTTTAAGAAAAAAAATTCTAGACAGTTACTCAACTCTGTGAAATGACATAGTCAAATGCTTAAAGTTCCCAGTTTTTTGGGGGTTTTTTTACGATCAAATCTTTGAAAAAGATCTCTGTGCCAGAATTATTTGATATTCATAATTTTTCTCAATCTTTCATTCATATTACAGGGGTGTTAATGTGTTGGAGGCTCAGTACATCAATACCGACTAAATTCAGGTTCTCTGTCATTCACTTTATGCACAAAACATGTGGTGCAAAATGTAAAAATGCATAACATTTTAACCGTTTCATCGAAGTCGCTATAATTCGACCTA